GAAGGGGTCCAATTTCCCCCTCCCCTCTTCCTGACCAAAGGAAGACCCCCTAGGACAGGGATACTTTGGTCCAGTCTCCAGTTTAAACAATTAAGTCCAAGAATTTAAACAGAAACATTAAGTCCAAGAATTTAAACAGAAACTGAGGGTCTCTGTCAACACTTGAAATTATCCGCCAAGAAAGGAGATCCTGTTTAGGACCAAGAGGGTTTGATTCAAATCTGCACAATCGGAACCCTGGAATTAAAACTGAAAATCTCAATCTGGTGGTAGAGGAAAAGATGGATTTTAAATGGCTCTGGAGCTGTTACTACTGTATTCAGACATTCCAAAATTCAGACTTAAAAAAGCCTCTCTTTGTCCCTTTTCCAGACACTCCCGTGAATAAAGCTCCTACCTAGACAGAAGGATTTAAGAATGGTTAAGAGAATGAATCATTATTTTAAAAATTATTATTATTTTGAGACTGAGTTTTGCTCATCATCTGGGCTGGAGCAATCTCTGCCTCCCAGGTTCAAGTCATTCTCCTGCCTCAGCCTCCCCAGTTGCTGGGATTACAGGTGCTCGCCACCATGCCCAGTTTATTTTTGTAGTTTTAGTAGAGACAGCGTTTCACCATGTTGGCCAGACTGGTCTCGAACTCCTGACCTCAAGCAATCCGCCTGTCTCAGCCTCCCAAAGTGCTAGGATTACAGGCATCAGCCACCACGACTGGCCAGAGAATCGTTAAAGTTATTCCATAGAGCCACTCAGAACTCAGAATCCTGATTAAAGGAAATCTCAATCCCTCCTCACAGACACCAGCATAAACAACTGCCTATAAATGGAAGACGCTTAAAGCACTAGGGATTAATTACTAACATTAGATTTAGACATTAAGGCCCTGTGTTTAAAACAAAAATTTCATTCTACATCCAAAAATAGCAAAGATTTTAAGAAGTTAGGTTCTTTTCTTTACCACATAATGATTGCAGCCTAAAAAAGAAGTACTAGGTGAAGTGTGAGGATATTTACACTTTCATTGGCAAGGACTCTGGGCTTTGTTCTGCGGACAAAGTGCAGGGGTCTGAGGCCCATTAGCCTTCCTGAGCTCCAGGGCAAACACACAGCCTTTGTTAATGCTGGTCTTGGGCTCCGCCTGTATTCAGGGATGAGGTAGAACTTCTTATTTTTCCTAGAGAAAACGCCCAGGCTGCACGCATGCGGATGCAAGGGCAGGCTGCTTGTTCTCTGGAGTACAGCTACTTCGCTGATTACACTGATTCCATTTTTAAGTTATTTTTTTTCTGGAGAGGGAGGGTGGATAGAGAAGGAAAGTCCAGGGACTAACAGGCCCAGAAACTCAGTGGAATGTCTCATCTCACCACAACCTGTTCTGCTCCCTGCTGCTGACAATTCCCACTGAACCCTTCAAGAATCTCCCACACACACAGGACAAGGGCTGCTGTTCATACCTCCCATGGACGCAAACATTGGTGGAACAATCACTTTATGTCAAAGAGAAGCCGTGAGACCCACATGGATGCTTTCAAGGTGGCAAGCAGTGCCTGAGGCTCTGAAAGGGGCTGGCCTAAAACTACTGCACTACATGTGCATTTACCACTTGCCTATGCAGGGCCCTGTTGGCTGGCTCTGACTACAGTCAGGTTTAGGTTGGCAGTGTAGAAAAAAACCCCCAACATACCCTCACAGGCATCTGTAAGTGTCATGTTAGGGATTTATTTGTACTAAACCACACCAGGTTGATGCAAATCTGAAAACACTTTATGATGTCTTTGTGTTTGTCTAAAATCCCGGATCTCTTAAAGCAATTAACAAAAAACAAAAAAGCAGACCCCAAATTGAAAACAGGCTTTCCAATTTCAATGAGTAGCTTTTCCTCCATACGAAGAGTTTACATTTGTGAGTCCTGTATTATTACTGGTCAGATTTTCAGAATTTTTTAAGAGAACACTTTAGGATTTTCCTTAAAAGAAAACAAAGGATACTGTCACAATTTATATATCAAAAACTGACAAAATTGTGCCACTTACAGTCCAGAGCAGAAACATATTTGAATATAAATTCCCAATGAGACTAAACCTATGGGTTTTCAAGGTTAAAAATCAAAACCTATAGCCTTGTTAAATACTCACATATACTTTTTTTTTTTTTTCTTTTTTTCCCTGAGAAAGAGGCTCTCTCTGTCGCCCAGGCTGGAGTGTAGTGGTGCGATATCGGCTCACTGTAACCTCCACCTCTGGAGTTCAAGCTACTGTCATGTCTCGGTCTCCTGAGTAGCTGGGATTACAGGAGCTCACCACCATACCCAGCTAATGTTTGCATTTTTAGTAGAACAGGGTTTAGCCAGGTTGGTCAGGTTTGCCTTGAAGTCCTGACCTCAGATGATCGACCCGCCTCAACCTCCCAAAGTGCTTGGGATTACAAGCATGAACCACCTCACTCAGCCTCACATGTACTTTTAACTTTTCATTCCTTTGTCAACTGCAAGAATTGTAATATTTGACAAGGTGGGTTTTTTTTGGTCAAATATTAAGATTCTTGCAGTTGACAAAGGAATTAAAGTTTTTTTTTTAGTAGCATGGCAAAACACCTTGTCATCTTATTTCTGATGACAGCAATACTCTTATTTTCTTATAATTCCTGAAAATCAACATATAGACATATTTTATTATGCTTTGCAGATAATGTGTGGGGTTTTATTTTTATTACAGATTGAAGTTTGGTGGCAATCCTGCATTGAAGCAAGTCCACTGGCATCATTTTTCCAATATACATACTCACTTTGTTTCTCTGTCAGCATTTTTTTTTTTTTGAGACAGAGTTTCGCTCTTGTTACCCAGGCTGGTGTGCAATGGCGCGATCTCAGCTCACCGCAACCTCCGCCTCCTGGATTCAGGCAATTCTCCTGCCTCAGCCTCCTGAGTAGCTGGGATTACAGGCACACGCCACCGTGCCCAGCTAATTTTTCGTATTTTTAGTAGAGACAGGGTTTCACCATGTTGACCAGGATGGTCTCGATCTGTTGACCTCGTGATCCACCCGCCTCGGCCTCCCAAAGTGCTGGGATTACAGGCTTGAGCCACCGCGCCCGGCCTGTCAGCATTTTTAAGTGAAGTATTTTACAATTCAGGTATATCCTTTGTTTTTTAGACATAATGCTACTGCACACTTAATAAACATTTTTTTAAGATGTAGTCTTGCTCTGTTGCCTGGGCTGGAGCGAAGTGGCACAATCTCAACTCACTGCAGCTGCTGCCTCCTGGGTTCAAGCAATTCTCCTGTGTCAGCTTCCCAAGTAGCTGGGATTACAGGTGTGCTCCACAATACCCGGCTAATTTTTTAATTTTTAGTAGAGATAGCACTTCACCATGTTGGCCAGGCTGGGTTCTTGAAGTCCTGACCTGAAGTGATCCACTGGCCTCAGCATCCCAAAGTGCTGGAATTAGTCATGAGCCATCGTGCCCAGCAGGTTTTTTTTTTTTTTTTTTTTTGAGACAGAGTATTATTACTCTGTTACCCAGGCTGGAGTGCAGTGGCATAGTCATAGCTTACTGCTGGCCTTGAACTCCAGGGATGAAGCAATCCACCTGCCTCAGCCTCCTAGGTAGCTAAAACTACAGTTACTCCACCACACCTGGCTGATTTTAAAAAATTTTTTTGTAGAGATGGGGTCTTGCTATGTTGCCCAGGCTGGTCTCAAACTCCTAGACTCAAGCAATCCTCCTGCCTCAGCTTCTCAAACCACTAGGTTTACAAATGAGAGCCACCTCATCCAACCAACATAACTTTTACATGCATTAGGAAACCAAAACATTTGTGTGACTAGCTTTACTATGATAGTCTGTGGAAGCAAACACATAAACCTCCAAGGTATACCTGAATATAACTGTGAAAACCTGAAATTAAATAAGCTGTATTATCTTCAGGTGCCAAAACAGTGGCAAAAAAATAAGAGCCCTTATTTATATTTTCCTGAGTTTGGTTCTGAATTTGAAGATTGGGTATTCGGAGGCAAAGTACTGGGGAAAAAAGGATCGGTCTAACTGTTGATACCATTTGACGTAGACTTAATAGGCCTCCAGGGTCAGCAGCGGGGGGGATTTTGGGTTCATGATGGAATCTGTAGAGTAAGTGGTTTAATGACAATACTGTGAGCTTTACTACTATCATGCTTATACTCTGAAATACTTGATTCTAACAGGACTGTACGTGACATACATGTCCAATTAGACAGATGCAGCTTGCTGACTAACTTCCAAAACGAGAGAGGAAAGAAATAGGAGATTGAAAAAAATTATTTGGGCATGGTGATTTGTGCCTGTAGTCTCAGCTCCTGGGAGGCTAAGGTGGGGGGATTGCTTGAGCCCAGGAGGTGGAGGCTGTGGTGAGCTATGATCATGCTACTGCACTCCAGCCCGGGTGACAGAGCAAGACCCTATAACAAAGGAAAAAAAAAGGTATTTTTGAACTGTGAGTTCTCTGCCCAGAGACACACAATAATTCTGAATATCTGGCCAACAATATAGAACCCAGAAGAATGCAAATTGGCTACTGTTAATTCTGGATGAGGCCAGAAAGCCCGGAGTCAGTAACTAGCATTCCTCTGTTAACTCTGGATGGAACAGACCAAGTGAAACAAGGTAGGCTGGAATCCATCAGAGATGGTGGTGGATATTTCATGGCACATAGGTCACATAAGACAGTAACAATGGTGCTCCCTCAGATAGCTGTAATGAAGATGAAATGAGAGTCAACCTAGGGAAAGCTCTTTGGGCATTTCCTGGTATTCATTAAGAGCAAAATAACTGTGAGGTCAGTTATGATTATTAGGAAGGTTCCACTGGCATTTAGCAAAAAATCATTTGCCTTATTAATGATGTCATTTAACAAATGGAGAATGAGACTTAGGAAAGGGGAAGGGGAAGGGCCCACGTTCCAGAAGCTGGGCTCCCGAGTCTGAGCCCTCAACCCCTAGGCTCTATGTGAACAAACAGTACCTCTAGAGGCTTTTCAACTCTGAAGCCAGTTAGGATCCTGGAATCTTCCCAGTCAGCCGTCTAGTCCACTGAAGAAACTAATAATCAAAAAGAAGAAAAAAGATGTATGAGTCTGGTTCTGATTATTACTGCTGTGTAAAAAAACCACCTGCAATTTAGAGATACAGAATAGTGGTTTGTAGGGTTGGTAACTCGTGAGGAACCCAAAACACTTTCAGGGGGTCTGTGAGATTGAAACTGTGGTTATAACAGCAGGAATACATACCTGACCTCTTCACCATACCCACGTTCACACTGATGACACAAATGCAATAGTGGGCAAAAGTGCTGGTGCCTCAGCAAAAACTAAGGGAGCGGGCCAGGTGCAGTGGCTCATACCTATAATCCCAGCACTTTGGGAGGCCGAGGCGGGCAGATCACCTGAGGTCAGGGGTTTGAGAACAGCCTGGCCAACATGGTGAAACCCCATCTCTACTAAAAATACAAAATAGAAGAAAAAGAAAAAAAATTGGCGGAGTGCAGTGGCTCACGCCTGTAATCCCAGCACTTTGGGAGGCCAAGGCAGGTGGATCACTAGGTCAAGAGTTCGAGACCAGCCTGACCAACACGATGAAACCCCATCTCCATAAAAACAAACAAAAAATACAAAATTAGCCAGGAGCGGTGGCGTGCGCCTGTAATCTCACCTACCTGGAAAGCTGAGGCAGGAGAAGTGCTTAAACTCAGGAGGTAAAGGTTGCACTGAGCTGAGATCATGCCATTGCACTCCATCCTGGGCAAAAAAAGAGCAAAACTGTCTCTCAAAAAAAAAAGCCGGGCGCGGTAGCTCACGCCTGTAATCCCAGGCTGAGGCGGGTGGATCACGAGGTCAAGAGATCGAGACCATCCTGGTCAACATGGTGAAACCCCATCTCCACTAAAAATACAAAAAATTAGCTGGGCATGGTGGCACGTGCCTGTAATCCCAGCTACTCAGGAGGCTGAGGCAGGAGAAATGCCTGAACCCAGGAGGTGGAGGTTGTGGTGAGCTGAGATCACGCCATTGCACTCCAGCCTGGATAACAAAAGCGAAACTCCATCTCAAAACAAAACAAAACAAAGAAATTAACACAGTGGTACCGAACTGCATGGTCACTGAATACCTCACTGCCACACACTCAGGATAGATAAAAATGTTCTCAAGGGAACAGAAAAAGTTGGAAAGCTTAGATCCGTTACCTTGGAAGTATCTTAATGCTTAAAAACTTTTCTGACAGGATCAATGGTCATGTTCACGAAGATTTGTTTTACACACAGTACTATAAAATGGGTCAACATTTGGAAGATCTGAATAATGAAGTAAATTACTATTTCCTTTTATTTTAGAAATGGAAACATAGGTATCACTATGTTGCCCAGGCTGCTTTTGAACTCCTGGGCTCAAGGGATTCTCCCACCTTGGCTTCCCAAAGTGCTGATATTACAGGCATTACAGGCTGCCAGTCTGCCAGCCCTGTTTTCTAAGTAATGTAAGAAGGGTATAAAATCATGCATGGATAAAATAGCCACCAAAGTGCAAGACACAGGCTGGGCGCATTGGCTCGCGCCTGTAATCCCAGCCCTTTGAGAGGCCAACGTGGGTGGATCATCTATCCACCTTGGCAGTTGATCTACCCACCTTGGCCTCTCAAAGTGCTGGGATTACAGGCATGAGCAGAAGGGCACAAGTTTGAGAGCAACCTGGCCAACATGGTGAAACCCTGTCTCTACTAAAAATACAAAAATTTGCCAGGCATGGTGGCGGGTGCTTGTAATTCCAGCTACTTGGGAGGCAGAGGCTGGAGAACTGCTTGAACCTAGGAGGCCAAAACTCCATCTCAATAAAAGAAAAAAAAGTGCAAGACAAACAAATAGATTGTAAGGTAACAGAAAAAATTCCTTGATAGGATTTCATATTCCACACTGCAACTAATCTTCAAGAAACTACCATTTCTTGAGTTTTGGTGTATTATCAAAGAAAATCCAAAATTATCTGAAAATGCTTCTCTCTTTCCAACGATATTATCTCAGCAAAGCCAAATTTTCTACATATACTTTAATCAAAACAACTAATGGCAAAACATGTAAAAACAGGTACGAGAATTCAGCTGTCATCTACTAAGCTCTTAAGACATTAAAAAGATTTGCAAAAGCATGCAATATGCCACTTTTCCACATTATTTTATTGCTTTGTGGAAAAGTTACTTCTTTTTTTTTTTTGAGACAGAGTCTTACTCTGTCACCCAGGCTGGAGTGCAGTGGCGAATCTCAGCTCACTCCAACTTTCACCTCCCTGGTTCAAGTGAATCTCCTGCCTCAGTCTTCCAAGTAGCTGGGATTACAGACGACCGGCACCACGAATTTTTTGCATTTTTTGTAGAGACGGGGTTTCACCATGTTGGCCAGGCTGGTCTCGAACTCCTGACCTCAGGTGATCCACCCACCTTGGCCTCCCAAAGTGCTGGGATTACAGGCATGAGCCACTGCGCCCAGCCAGAAAAGTTACTTTTTTAAAGGTTTTATTTTACTAAAATATTTTAAATTTTTGCTAAAATTTTTCTTTTTTTTTTTTTTTCAAAGAGTCCCGCTCTGTCACCAAGGCTGGAGACTGGAGTGCAATGGCGCCATCTTGGCTTACTGAAACCTCGGCCTCCTGGGTTCAAGTGATTATCTTGCCTCAGCCTCCTGAGTAGCTGGGATTACAGGCACACAACACCATGCCAGCTAATTTTTTTGTATTTTTAGTAGAGAGGGGGTTTCGCCACGTTGGCCAGGCTGTCTTGAACTCTTGACTTCAGTCGATCCACTCACCTCAGCCTCCCAAAGTGCTGGGATTACAGGCAAGAGCCACCTCACCCAGCCTGCCTTAATTTTTAATATGTTAAATATTCACAGATATAATGCCCATTGGCAGAAGCTTTTTGGGGTGTGCAATTTTTGGAGTGTAAAAGTGTCTCAAAATAAAAATGGAGGATCATCTGGGGCCAGGAGGTTAAGGCTGTAGTGAGCTATGACTGTGCCACTACACTCCAGCCTGGGCAAGAACAGCAAAAAAAGACTCCTCCCTACCTCCCCCCAGAAAACACATGCTGGGTGTGGTGGCATGTGCCAGTAGTCTCAGCTACTCAGGAGGCTGAGGCAGAAGGATCACTTGAGCCCAGGAATTCAAGGCTGCAGTGAGCGATGTTTGCATCACAGCACTTCAGGCTGGGTGAGGAAACAAGACCCTGTCTCAAAAAATTTTTTAGAAAGTGGCCAGGCACAGTGGCTCATGCCTGTAATCCCAGCACTTTGGGAGGCCAAGGCAGGAGGACAGCTTGAGCCCAGGAGTTTGAGACCAGCCTGGGCAAAATGGTGAAACCCTGTCTCTACAAAAAAAAAAAAAAAAAAAAAAAAATCGCTGGGTGTGGTGGCATAGGCCTGTAGTCTCAGCTACTCAGGAGGCCAAGGAGGAGGATCGCTCGAGCCTGGGAGTCAGAGGTTGTAGTAAGCCAAGATCACCGTGTCACTGGTTTCTAGCCTGGGTAACAGAGACTCTGCCTCAAAAAATAAATAAAATTAAACAATAAAAACAAATACAAATCAGAAAAGAGTCCTTGGGTTTGGTTTCTTGAATATATTCCTGCTCCTCTAGATGTGAAGATTTGTAAGATAAAAAGACAAGTTATCTGTTCCCCACACAACCAATGCAGAGTTCGGGACAGGAATGGGATGTTGAAAATAGACATTCCTATAACAAGATATGGGTGGAGAGATGGAGTCCCACAGCAGCCCATGACCTGTAGCAATTCTTCAACTCAGGCAGGAACATGTCTGCTTCTTAAGCACCAGTGCAGCTCCACAGGAGTGATTCTTATGAAGTTCTCTACTGAATCATAGTTGCTTTCCCATAAAAAGTAGACATTTTCAACTGTGTAGCTTTGCAGGCCTATTTCATCTGTTTTCAATCTGCAGTTTGGGGGCTCAAAGGTCTCTTTTCATTTTGTACTACTTCTTTCCATTTTGTTTGGACAAAGTTGGCCTTGCTTTTGCTAGTGGAATAAAAAACCTTTTTATCTCCTTTAATTTTACAGGGTTTGTGTAATTAGACCAAAGCCATGGCTAAAATCTCTTAGGCCCTTCTCTGTCTCGGGCCCCTGTCTGTGGGAATGCAGGGGAACAATGCCCAGATGGGATACTGAGATGTTCTTTTAGTTAATGAAGAGGCACCTTAAAATTCTAGATAGAGTATCTATTCGTAAGACTATAAAACATCAAACTAAAGGTCTCTGAGGTTCTAAGAAACGGTTCTGTGATAAAAGGTTTTCATAATAAAATCTCTCAGTGAACTACTGCAGTCCCAGCAAAAAAAAAAAAAAAGATAGCTGGGCGTGGTGGCATGTGCCTGCAGTCCTAGCCACTTGGGAGGCTGAGATGGGAAGATCACCTGAGCCCAAAGTTAGAGGCTGAAGTGAGTTATGATCTTATCAGTGCACTCCGGCCTAGGCAACAGAGACCCTGTTTCAAAAAAAAAAAAAAGAAAAAAATCAAAATGCATAAATGCCAAAAAATAAAAATTAAAAGGCTGGGCACAGTGGCTCACATCTGTAATCTCAGCACTTTGGGAGGCTGAGGCAGGCAGATCACAAGGCCAGGAGTTTGAGACCAGCCTAACCAATATGGTGAAACCCTGTCTCTACTAAAAATACAAATAGCCAGGCATGGTAACACATGCCTGTAATCTCAGCTACTCAGGAGACTGAGGCAGGAGAATCGTTTGAACCTGAGAGGCGAAGGTTGTAGTGAGTTGAGATTGCGCCCCTGCACTCCAGCCTGGGTGACAGAGCAAGACACCATCTCAAAAAAAAAAAATAAATAAAATCTCTCAGTGAACAAGAAGTAGAAGGGAACTTCCTTAATTTAATAAAGCCATCTTCAAAAGAACCTACAGCTAACATCATAGTTAATAGTAGAAGATTGAATGCTTTCTGCCTAAGGTTGGGAATAAGATAAGGATGTATGTTCTCACCACTCTTATTCAACAGTACTGGAGGCCCTAGCCAGTATATTAAGAAAATAT